CAAACGAATAAATACTCGGCTCCTCCTCAAAATTTATTAGAGGAGTTATAACTCGAATGTGCAATCTAGCGGCTAACTGCGAGAATCTCCAGATTTACAACACTACATGTTGGCAGACGTTCAACGTTCAGCGGCGCGGCGCAGCGTCTAGCAGCGGCGACACCTGGGGGGGGGGGGGAGGTGAAGACAACTTTAGTGACATACCTAGAGTCTGGTGTTACATATTCCAAAATCGTATAGCATAAATAAATTCATTATAAAAGGACTTGCGAAGGAGGGGTTTTAACCCTGAGTACTACGCAATGTAACTTTGACAGAGCTAAACTTTGCAAAACTGAATTAAATGTTTTATTCGTCTTGCATAACACCTGACACGCAGAGTATTTTTTTTTTTTTTTTTTTAATTAATCATAAACTTGCAAACAATCATGCACACATCGCCTAGCTTTAAATTAAAAGATAAAATCCAGTCATGTTTAACTACGGTGTTTAACTAAATGTTTTTTCTTTGTAGTTATTTTGTATATTATATTTCTGTATATATTAGGTTAGTTTAGTTTTAGTTTGGCTTGAGTAAGTTTGAAAAACATTTATATGAAACTCGCTCTCAAATAAAGGCTTTTTATTTATTATTATTTATTTATTTACGGTAATAATCACAATTAAGTAAGTAAAATTTATGGCCATTGGGTAGCCTATGTAAAATCGGGCAATGTAAATACTCTAGGTTTGGCTACCACGGCATTTGCGCTATTTTAGAAGGCAAACTACTTAGTACAGTACTGTATAAGGTGAAAAGTAAGTAAAATACTGTATTCCCTATATGGGAAATTCCATATAAAACAAAAGAACATTCCACAATTTTTTTTGTCTCTACGCTATTCATATTTTTGCTAATTTTGTGTAAGGGACAATCCAAGCCCTGATCTTTCTAGTAGCACAATGAAAATAATATCTTGAATGTTTACAACACATGATGGCCGCAAACCTTGCACTCAGCCGCAATTAATAAAAGGCGATCCATTGAAGGGCTTTGTGTAGACAGACTTTGGCGCTGTTTAAAAATCCACAAGACTTGACAGAGAGACTAGCTAATGTCCTGTACAGTCAAGGCTATTGCCTACATACAGTATGCATGACGTCACTCACAGTGCGTCTTGAGCGTTACACGTCACGCATCACGCACCAATATTAATGTAAAATACTACGTTTTAAAGTTCAAGTTATTTGTTACTACCGTATAACTTTAAGTTAGTTTCAGTTAGTCTTAAACAAGAATAACGTAGGGAATAATAATGGTCAACAGTTTGTGAGTCTTGATACACAAATATGATTTATTATTAAAATAGCTTATAGAGTTGCATATTCATTAGTAATATCAGGAAAACATTGCTTTACAGAGTTTCTTACATATTTGGTTTGGATCATGTTTCTTATTCAACTGAATAATTAATTGGTTTTTAAGCAATCCAAATACACCGACAATTCAGTTTATACATTATGTAAGTAGACTGCTACTCTCCTAACATGCATTGCTAAGAACAAAAGTAAATTACGTGCTCAAAGAACTTTTAAGCATAGCTATAAATTTCGCATATTTAACATTGAATTATTTTTACTCTTCTTATATATCTTTTTTTTAGATTTAACTTAATGCAATCATTAGGTTTAGGTCGGTGTATCAATTAATTCTTCTGTACTCTCATTAAACTCTTATTATATCAGAATACAGTCACTTATGAGATTTTTGAGATTTATGATTAATGAAGTACAATTTACAGCATACAATGATGTTTTTTAAGCAATGACAAATAAAGTAATCACTTAGAGAATATAAGAAAAAAAAATACTAGTGGTCTACTAATAAATTCCAAACGATTGCATTTCAAATACAGAAGTCCAAAAACGTAAACAAACTATCGTGTTGCTTAGACAAAGGCCTAGTATATACGTACCTCACTAAGGTTGTTTTAAAAATCTTTACAAAACCAGAAAACACACACCTTTAAAAAATACAAGTACTAGAGAGAAGACAATGGCAGGTAATAGGTGATTAGGTGATTGGTTGACACGGTTCCCTACTGAGGCAGTATCAAAGATGCAGACGAGGGTGCATAAGTCAAGACACGGGCTGAGTGCTTAGTCTTGTAAACACAACCAGAGGAACATGCACATTAGCCCAACAGAGACAATATAAACTATTTCACTGTCAAAAGATATATTAGGAATAATATCCTGGAACTGGGAAATATGTTTCCAGAGTGAAGGATTATTGTTCAGTAAACTAATTGGCACTATCACTAGCAAACGTGGACGAATACAAACAAATCAATGTATGAAACTCGTTTCAACATAATTATAATGCCTTAAATGAAGCTATAAGAACGTAATTATTTTTATAACAACTTTGAAGATGTTTACCCCATACACTAGCTTTGAACTATCTTTAAAAGTCCTATTATTTCTAGGATCGGAAAAGAGAAACAGTCCAGGTTTGAATCTCTATAATAACTCGAAACGGTTCAACAATAGAATTGCTCCAGTGACTAGTGACCAAAGACCAGTAGAATGAATGGTGTCGGAGTTATCAGACGGCTTCCTGTCGAGCATTCCTGCCTATCTGGCGAGTGGCGACTGATAACAATACCGAGAAATCCGTACATCACAGCTACAGACAGTGTGGAGTGTGGAGTGTGGGCCGACCGCCAGCTTGTACCTGCTGATGCAGCGTCTAGGAGCTGTTTGTAACACTCAATCCCCTTCAATTAGACGGTATAAAACACGCATAGTCTTCCACAGCAAGTCGACTACTATTGTTTGGCTCATGTGATCATTCCATTCATATCCATGAAACTTATCATTAGTACCAACCTTTAGAAATTACTAGACATTCCATTTTCATAAGTTTTTTTCCGGCTTTAGAATAAAAAAGGAACATAGATCAATTGAGCGATATATTGGATGTCTACTTCAATATTCAAACTGGCACGGCTCAAATATGTGAAATATTGTTGATTTATATTGCGTGATAATAGAGGCCAAATCTTCATGCATAGTCTTCAATCCTAATTTAGATCAATGTAGAAGGACAATCCAACTCATGACTTACAACTTTCCCTACAAGAAGAGTAGGTACAGAGAAAGAGATATGAGCAGTCATCCTTCTCTTCAGCGATTCCCGTCGCCAGTGGTCTGATCCTTTAAATGAACAAGACTTGAAAGAAATTGAGGAAGATAATAATTGGCGTGGAAAATATTGGCACTGAATAAGAGGGAGTTGAATGGGACAGCAACCCTTGGATCAAATTATCCGAGGGCGACAGACTCGGGGCATATCCAAATAAAAGATTTTTTGCGAATTATAAGATCCCTCTCGGATCCGATGCTGTTTTGACGTTTCTTCAAAGCCCCGACTATGGGGGAGGTTTTGGTAGTTTCCAACATTTTTTCACCCCTATTCCTGGTCTTTGAGAGGCTGCTCACTCGAATTATCCCGTTGATCCCATGAAACCCTCGAGGGTCGAATTAAAATTACACCTTTAACACAATATTTTGACCTAACCAATCTTGTCACATTAAACTTCCCGGCGTCACTTTACACTACACCTGAGCAACACCACTACTACTACACAGTAGTAAACGATAACCTCGACATTAACTAAAATTGTATAGACGAGTATTTGGATTTTATAGTTATCAATGTGTCATGATCAGATGCGACCGTTTACTGAAAATTCTGCTTTCAAACAAAGCTTGCATCATATCATAGATTTAACTTACCTTCAGCGATAATTTTCAAGAACTATATACATTACATTTCAGGAGGGAGGATATTCCTCTTTCTCATGTAAAAAGTAAATGTTGAGTCGACGTTGTTCCACACAAAACGCTTAAACTAATAGAATTCTGAATGCGGAATACTGTATTCGAACGGTTTCTATGATAAGATAATTTAAAAAGTTGTATATTTTTGTCAATATAATTTATATTTCATATAATTTATATTGAAATATACTAGCTGTCAGTCCTAAATATCTGCACAGATCTAAAAGCGTTTACAATTAGAAAGTTAACTTTAACAAGGACTAAACCAACTGATTTTATATCACGAAACCTGTTAATTTTTAATACCAAAACACACAATTTAAACTCTTTGACAAAATGATGGATTTTTAATTAAAAACTTATGCTTAAGCGGAGATACGCGTAATTGAAACAAAGACAAACAAAAGCTAAATTAAAACTATCACTAACAACACTACTAATTAATAACTAAATGAAGCTTGGCAATGATTTAAAATAGCGAAAAATAATTACAAATCATTAAAATTGTGTTTGACATTAAACAGAGTGATAAAAAATCGCATGACAAGCCAAAGCGAGCTCTCTGTCGTGCGACTAATTGACAACGCTGAAACTATTGAAGTAAACAAACATAAAGGATAGACATTTTTAAATCGGAATAGCAATTTTTGTAAACCACCTTCAAAAGCAAACGAAATCATTAAAACTATTTATGAGTAGATAGGGTTGCCTGATTTTTTCTCCGGCGAATAAAAGTGACAGCGATGTTGGGAATGAGTATACGAGTGTGGGCAGGGGACGATTTGTCCTCGAGCGAGCGACGACGACTTGTGCAGGTTAAAACTGTATGTTAGTTTGTGTAGACTGTAGGCACTAAGCACTGTATATATAAGAAGTGTGTAAGTATTGGTTAGCAGACAAGTAGAGGTTACAGCAGAGCTGTAATTACCAGCCCGCTGTTGCGAGTATAAGTGCGAGGTGAATGTCATGGCTGGCTGTACAAGTGATTGCAGTAGAAAGTGAATTCACTTTCAATTCGGCGCACTAGGTCATGAATGCAACTCAGCGCAACCTGTCTGACCTAGAGAGCTGACACTAAGTTAAGTAACGCTTGCGTAAAATACACATGTCTACATCTACATATAGTACTTAAGACTAAAAAAGGACTGAATAAACTAAATACGTATTCAGTGAGCAAATATCAAACATTTATTGTTTCCAAATTTTTATATTCGGAGAGTTCCCGCTCATCCCCAAGTATTGAACCCGATATGCCTTGCTCTCAGCGATTTCCTTCAGTTCATCTGAACTCAACGCCTCGCTGAACCGCTTCGGTAAGAATATACAGAAGTCGGCACTCTTTTCTGGCACATGGATGTCTAGGACGATGGACGCTCCGTATTTGGTGTTTACTGCCCTCCCTGCCACAATGGAGTAGCCCTCTTTGTTAGTAAGCGCCGAAACGTCGATCTTAGGGAGGTATGGTCCTTTCTCCAGGGTGTTGAGTTTTGCTGCTAGGGCCATGATTATGATCTATAAAAAAAATATCCTGTTTTAAAAGTCGTACTAATAGTATGCCATATTATAGGCCGAGTACTGATATAATGAAAATTTATCGAGTTAACTAGCTTAGCATTAATAGACAATGCATAAACAACTGGAGCACTACAGCATAAATAGTACAATTGAAGATTGCTGCGTGAAACAAGTATGTCACAGCATATAACGCAAGGTGTAATATCATAGAAATATTAGCGCAACGGAGGGCAACTAGATACATATAAAACGTTTAACAGCTTAGTAATAACAGCTAAATGTATAGAAAACCCGTTGCACTTATAATATACAAATATAACAAGTAAGGTTTGCAGATTGTAACAAGTATATCGCTGCATATATCGATTAGTAGAGCGTAATACCATACACATAGCAGTCTATCGTAGCGCAACTATATACATATTACAAATAGCTCTAAATAGCTAAATGTGTAGCAAAACTGTTACACTACAACATATGGATATATTGTAATCAATGTTATCTTGTATCATGTGTCAGGAATACCGTTTCATATAACAAGTAGTAGAAATATTAGTCAGTATAACATGTAGGCAGTACCAAGACAGTATAGCAAACGCAGCAGTGTAGAGAAAAACACATATTGGGACAGACAAAGGGGGGAAACCTTGAGTAAGTGGAGGGTATGAGAGTAATGCATCATTATGCATTAACGCAAAACAAATATCAGCACAGCAACAAATAAGAATATACAACTAGCACTCTTAGAAAATACAATTATGGAGCTATAGTAGTAGTAGAAAAGTGTAAGCTAAATAAGCATATACAAACTAAAAGATCATACAAGTAAGATTATTCTCACAGTTAATGCATAAGCACACGAGACATACCTGTTCGGTTGCGTGCAGAGAACTGTGCAGCCATGTACGCTTATGCCGCTTATAAGCAATCCTGGCTCCCCACAATCACTGACCTCACACAAACTGTATAAAAGCAGCCCATTGGCACTGCAAAGTTGTATTCGACTCCAGCTTGCATTGTGAGTAACTCGTGCACCTCGGTCAGTTTGTGCGTCCGGGGCAGTACGTGCATCAGTCGAAGTCGTCTACGCTTGTGTGATGCCAGAACATCTTCTCCATAGTTGTAAGTACAAACATATCGTAGTTTGCAATATAGTTGCTAGGATTTTAAAAAGACCATAAGATTTAAGCTTTTCCTATAACTCCTTGCTCTCCTTACCATAAGAGCAACGTTAAATAGCTAGACTCAAAACTTACAAAATTATTTACAATTATTTAATGTCAAATCTGAGTGTTGTAAAACGTGGTAATGCTCGTTAAATTAGAAATCTGAAGTGAAGTATGTAGCTAGAATATTAAATGATGTCTAAAAATCTGTTTGATTAGAAATACGTTGATCTTTAAAAACCAATTATATATTCAATAAATAAATATGACTAAATAAACTTCTAATAATACGATTAATATAGATTAATTATACAATCTCTGGCTATCGCATGATTATATGTTGAATATACACTTAATCAATACTATATACAATTTGAAATATTCTTCACTCTCAAATCAATACAAACATTCTATTTCAAATGTCACCAAGAACTAGTTTGTGTAAAAAGAAATAAATAATCCGCTAGTGTGTGTTTGCATTTAATATTGTTCTTAATGGACAAATCATGACGCTAGCCAAGGGTTAAGGGTTCTTCCTTGTTCAAATAACTAGCTATTAAATATAAAGTACCCTAGTGACTAGGGATGTAGCTACATAAATAAAAGTCAATAAATATTTCTTTTAACTATATATCTATTAAAATATATATGTTCACTGTTTAGTCTTTATTACTTAATAAATGATTTTTAACCTATATACCCTATAGAAAAAATTAAGAACACTTCTATACTACAATGTTTTGAAAGAAAACGTACTAAAAAAAAAAACGAATTAATATCTATCAGAAAGAAAAATCATTAGGTATTATGAACTTAGCAAGTATGTAGGATTATTTTAGAAAAACTTGCATATACGCATTTTTTGTCATAAGTTAAGCTAGCAAAATTCGAAAAATAAATAAATAAATCATGCTTAGAAATGAGTGTAGATTTTGTCTTTAGAGCTGTAGCTTAGTATATGCATAGATTAAGCAACTTTAAAGCTCGTTCTTTGTGTCTAACTCTTGAGTGCTGTCCCTGTTTGCTAGTGCAGACACAACCATCTCTCTACCATGTGTAATTCTATGATTTCCGCATTATTGTTAGGCTAGATAACTAGTGAATGCATTATTGGCTATGAAAAAATCACTTTATTCGCATTAACAAAGTTTAAAATTATTAAATTGGCAAGAAAAAAAATTGTAAAGAAAAACACGAATGCTTAAAACTAAACTTTGTAACTTAAGTTTTGTTCGGTATTTCGATATTGTTAATATAAATTTTGTGTGATTATATTTTAAGCTTATATCACAAACGTTTTAAATATAACATATTGACACTAATCAAGTATGGATGATGAATAAAGATATTTTGATTTTGATTTGACGATCTATGCAGTGGATAGAACTAACTAGCTTCAGTTGTTATATAATGATGAAAAATCTACTTAGGAAGGAGTATGCTTTATTTTTGGTATTGACGAAACTACTATATATGACAACTGACACTTTATTTTTACATTCACAGCGCTAGAAGTGAGCAGTCATTCCCCACGTGCCGTCTTGCAAAGTTCCACTTAGATGTTGAGCAGTCTAGCTGTGAAAACTTCTACAACAATGTAAGTAGAAAGCCCTGTCAGTTTTATATCTTCTTGGTACTACGTTTAGTAAACTATTATTTGAGAGCTTACAACTTAATATAGTCGAATGTAAAGAGCCCCTTAATACCTCATATTGTCCTAGCAAAAACTACACTAAACCATGCAGCTATATAAGCAAATTTTCATTGTTGCAAGAAATCCACACAACTAAAGACAAAATGCGTGTAATATGAGCTTAAAGAATCTGAATTGTAAAATCTCATGCTGAACATGATAACATAGGCAATAAAACTTAAATTAAAATAATAAAATAGGTAAGTGCTAAAAATTAATGTATTTTTTCTAAAACTTAACGTAACAATCTCAAACCAAATATAATAGAACTATAGCAGACCATGAGCAATGTACTTAATGTTTGAAATTAATGTTTTAGATGTATCTACAATGTGCCATCTGTCGAGAAGCCTACTTCCTTAGTGCATCCGCAAGGAGCCGTCACCAGCAAATGTGTTTGGCGTTGAACGACTACTTCACATCAGCAGTAGCGAGCAACAATGACAACAGACGAGAGACACACGAGGCAGCAATTCAGACACCTCCACAGCAAATTAAAGCAGTACCCAGTGGCAGTGGCTTGAAAAGAAAACTACCACCTCCAAAGGTGACTAAGCGTCCTGTGACTAGTGTATTGCCAAGTCCATCATCACATACAAGTTCAACAACAAGGCTGACGTGGTATTTAAAAAAAGGTCTTCAATCGGCCAAAGACTATGTCATAGAAAATAATGAAAACCTCTACAAGGACCTACCGCCATTTATTGAAGCTGCTAACGAAGTGGTGCTCGATATACTACAAGATGAGCTGCGTGTCACCAAATCCCTCAAGTACAACGTCGTACTGGAGGCCGTCTACTGCCATCCTGAAGGACATTGCGAACTTATGAACTTCAAGACCACGTCGAGGCTTATACACAGCGCCTGTGATGAGCTACAAGAGCTGCTGAAGAAGGACGCCAGCAAACTGCTTCGTGAGGAGTCTGAAGCGCAGGCGAAAGGCAGTGGATGGACTTTGCATGAGGTAAAGAGCCTCACACTTAGACTAAGCAAATTTTCATATGCATTGCCTGCTGGAAGTGGCTATCTGCCACTGCCCCCAAAAATTGCTAAAAGGAAATGCATTTTAAATGTAAAAAACAGCAATGATTGTTGTTTCATGTATTGTATATTAGCCAAAAGTCTACCTAATATACGTTATGACTCAGTGCTTACTGAGCATAGCTTTAGGGAGTGTGAAACACATTACAACTTTGATGGTATTTCATTTCCAACGCCCATTTCACAAATGAAAAAATTTGAAAAACAAAACATCAACACTAGCGTAAACATCTTCGAACTGGACGAAAATGCCCATATTACACCACTCAGGATAGTTGATGAGCAGCAAGACCATTTTGATCTCCTTCTCGTTAGAAATGATGAAGGAGAGGCTCATTTTACGTTAATATTGAATTTCACAAAGCTTATGCAGCCACAAATTACAAAAGGCAGCAACAAAATTACAATCTGTAAAAGGTGTAGCACCTTTAAAGAAAACAGGCGCTGTGTTCCGACACCTCAGCACTGGTTGAGTGAACATTTAATGCTCTGTGGAAAATCAAAACCAAGTGAAGTGATTTTGCCGGAGCAGCATAAAAGCAAACTTAGATTTGTTAGCTACGAGATGCAAATTGAAGTACCAATTGTAGTCACAGCTGACTTCGAATCAACACTATATCCAGTTCCCTCGACAGACAATGCCTATCAACGGCACGAGGCGAACTCGTTTGCTTATATCGTAGCAAGTAACCTTCCCAAAGAGCTGTTAGAGGAAGCTGAGATAAACACCTCACCCTACATACACAGATCGGAATCGGCTGCAAAAGAATTCCTTTTACAAATGCAGGAGCTAGCTGTAAAAGTGGAAAAGCTGTACACTAAAAATGTGAGTATGATTGCATTAAATGATGAACAACAGAAACAGCATGATGAAGCGACAAACTGCGAGCTGTGTGAAATAGCATTTGATGAGACATTGGTTCAGTCAAGGAAATGCCGGGACCACGACCATATAACAGGTCAGTTTCGTTATACCTTGTGCTCGTTGTGTAACACCCGCTGTCAACTTCCAAACTTCATACCAATATACTTTCACAACCTTTCTTCATACGACGAAGCATTCATTATTAAGAACTTGGCAGTATTACCCAACAGCGAAATAAAAGTGATCCCTAGTAATTCAGAAAGATTCATCAGTATATCGATAAAGATTGGGAGGATGTGGCTTAGGTTTTTGGATTCATTTCGCCTAATGGCGGACAGCCTTGCGAATCTCGCTTCGTATCTCACACCGACGGAACTCGTAGAGTCGTCCAAACTTGTGCCAGAACAGCATGTGGAGTTGATTCAAAGAAAAGGGATTTATCCCTATGATTATGTAAAAGACTTTGCTGTATTCAGTGAGGAAGCACTGCCACCACGTGAAAGCTTTTACAATGCCCTCAATGACTCGGAAGTTACGGATGCAGAATATCAACATGCCCAACACACTTGGAATACAATGAAAATGAAAAATTTTGGACAATACCATGATTTTTATCTGTTATTGGATGTTTGTCTTTTAATGGACATAATTCAATGCTTTCGCAAAAACTGTGTAGCCACCTATAACATTGACTGTTGTCATTCATTTACAGCGCCAGGTCTAGCATGGCAGAGTATGCTACGTATGACTGGTGTAACTTTGGAATTGTTGACGAACTATGACCATTTCTTAATGTTTGAAAGTGCGATTAGAGGCGGTTTGGTACAATGCTGCCACCGCTATGAAAAAGCCAACAACCCACTTTTAGAGAACAGCGAAGACTATGATCCAAACAAAGAAACCAAATATATGTTGTATTTGGACTGCATAAACTTGTATGGAAGCCAAATGAAAAAACACCTTCCAACTGGAAATTTTGAGTTTGTAAATGATGTTGATGATCTTAATTGGTCAAACTTACCTGAAGATTCGCCGTATGGACTTTTACTAGAATGTGATGTCACAGTGCCAGAGCACTTGCACGATCTAATGAACGACTTCCCCATTCTACCAGAACAAAAAGATGTGGATAATCAGGGAAAACTACTTGCTACGCTTGAAGATAAAAAACACTATATCGCTCACTATACAGTGTTCCAGCAGGCAGTCAAATTAGGCTTGAAAATTACAAAAGTTCACAGAGCGTTGCGATTCTCCCAGTCGCCGTGGATGGAAAAGTTCATCGACAAAAACACCACGTTAAGAGCTGAATCTACGAATGAGTTTTCCAAAAATTTCTACAAGTTTATGAATAATAGCGTGTTTGGAAAGACGTTAGAAAACGTGCGCAATCGTGTAGATATTAGAATAGTAACTTCTGATGAAGCGTTCCAGAAGCTGTCACGTCAAGCAAGATTTGTTGACAGAAGCATTATCGCTGATGGTGTGATCGCGGTACATTTAAGAAGACAAAAGGTAGTATTAAACAAGCCAGTCTATGTTGGTTCAGTAGTTCTCGACAAAGCAAAAGTTCATATGAACTGGTTTCATTATATGGTTATGAAGAAAAAACTAGCTCCGCCAGACTTTGAAGTGTATGTTAACTATTCTGATACTGATTCTCTATTATATACCATAATTACCAAGTTAAACCTAAATAATGAATTGAAGGAAAGATTGGGAGATGTACTGGATAGGTCATGCTATCCCAAGGAGCATGAGCTGTGGCTGGAAGGAGCGATTCCTCAAATAGGCACATTTAAGGATGAATGCAAAGGAAGACAGCTATTTGAGTACGTAGGATTGCGTTGTAAAATGTACTGCTACAGGTTCAACTCCAGCCAACAGACAACGGCAAAGAAAAAGTGTAAGGGAATAAGCAAACGCTATGTCGAAAACAAAATTTCATTTGATCACTACAAGAAGGCACTGTTTGAAGATAAACAGTACAGAGCGACATTTAACCAGATAAGAAGCAAGACATTTCAACTCACCTCTAGAACAGTTGATAAACTCTCTCTGTCAGCCAATGATAACAAACGCATAGTGTTGCAGGACAAAATTAGAACTTTGGCGTATGGGCATTATCGAGCTCGTCAAAATGACGATGGAGGATCGTCAGAATATGATTCTAGTCAGTCTTAGCTCGATGGTTGATCAGCACTTCTTAGGAGTAGTCAGAATGTTGTATTCATTGAGTATGGATGCCGTTGCCCGTACTATTCCATATGAAAAAGAATACGAAAGAATCGAGGATATCGAAATGTTTTCGATACTCCCTTCCCTCATGCACACAGAGTTGAGAAGCTCTATTAAACGGACTTGGATAAAAACTACAACAGTCAACAGAGATTTAATAAAAAGTTATGAGTTTAGAGATATCGACTTTATGCAAATTGATAGTTATCAGTTTGTCATGCTCATGAACCATCCTCTGGAGGAACCAGAGTTTTGGAGTCGAAATTACTATGGTAATAATTGTCATATAAATGTGGACTACTATGAAACAATACAAACAGAACGTCCTATGAAGTATTGTCGAGGCTGCTTTTTTAACCTTTTTACACTAAAAGACGATAATGATATTGACTATCAAAGTTATTGGCACGAAAAGGGGTTGGCATTTGTACATGTTGTACAGCATTTTGAAGTTAACTCTAACAGGCTAATTGATGCAGTGGTTAAACAAGAAAATAACTGGTGTGACTACTGTGTATTTCGACCATTGTTTACATTTCTAAACTACTTTGACTGTAGAGACAATAACAACATGTTACATGATAGTGATGAAGACAGCCCCGCATCTCCAGTGACAATGTTTAACCGTACAGAACTTTATGATCCGTATAGAGAGTGACATACGCTAGTCCAGCATATTTGAACAATGAGGCTGTTGGTCAAGTTTTGTTTTTTTAACCATACAATTTCACGTTTACTGTGTTTGTTTTTTGCGTTTCTGTTTATATATTATGTTTTATTGTAAACCCTAGCTAATGTAAAATAATTTGATGAACTCATGCCTTTTTGTTGTCTATACTCTATAAGAGTTGTTTATCTACTTGAGAACTGAATTCTAGTAGTATATAGCTAAAATATAACTTAATAACATGATATAACAAAGTAAGATAATGCTTAGCATTATGATATTTAACACATGTATATTATTGTGCACATTTCATGAATATTTTGTAATGTACTAACAACCTTTTTCTACCTGTATTTGTTTTACTATTACATGTTTACTAATCTTAACACATTTATGTAACGCTAGAGTTGTATATAATAAACACATCTAAAATGTTTATGGTTACCTGTTATGTTGGTGTTATCTATATAGCATTTATCTTTCAAATAAACTTATGTTAAACTTGACTACTTTGTTTGTTGCTAAACCCATTATTTAAAAGTTTTCCAAACACCCTCTGAAAAATTACTTTAAAAAGTATTATTGCTATGGATGCTAAGAAAAGTAAAGTCAATCCTCTACTGTGTTGTTGCTAGCTTAGCTGAAGGAAAGGGTAAACAAATAAAGAAAATCAAAGTTTGTAATACAAATATATTACCATAAGATACATTGAATACAGCAATTTTCTCTTTACCATTTTGACAAGTATTTTAAGTTCTCCATCACAGCTTCGGTAATGTTTGCTGCACAAAAGCGGCGTACCTCACTGTCTATCCACGGCATCATTGATGTCCTGAGTGCAGTCCGTTCATACCAAAAATCTTGAGTCTCTGCAGGCAACCTCCTTTCATTCAAGTCAGAAAGTAAACGTGGCAAATCACTTGTAATGTGTCGAACGAGTTGTTTATCCAAAGTCATTGAAGTCAAGTCATTTGTAGTGTTTGAAGAAAGCAAGGCCATTACCTTATAGTGTTTGGTAAAATATCGTGTGTAACGAGAGATCAGAAACTGCACAGTTGG